TTTGGGTCGGTTTAGGGTCGGTTTACCAATTGTGGTGTTCGATTAACTTTCAGTCATTTGGACTATGCCGACTGAATTAATACAACGTAATTCATCATTGCCCGGGGGAGGTCGTTTGACAACAATTTGCCTAACAGACACGTTAGAAATACCAGTTAGACACGTATGAAGAATTCATTAAAATATATAAGAAAGAACACAAAAAATTACGTGCTTTAGCGTCAGTGTGGCAAACCTATATCCACGGGAGAAGAGAGAAGATTATATTCGCTTATATCTGAAGTGTTACAATAACACATATATAATCATATTACAACAAAGTTTCATTATTATAGATGAGACAATTATGGAAAGAATATAACAAATTATGGAAACATTCCAATTATCATCAACCAATATTTTCCAAATCATGTCATGATATTTTCTTCAATATTAGCAAATATTTTTCAAATCACCAAATATCTCTCTTCTCCAACAACATATCTCGTAGATTAGTCTTCTTAAATCGTGTATATAATAATTTTATGTTAATTCATATATTTGGGTAAAATACCTTGTTGGTATATGAATTTGTTCACTTAATTCAATTTGATCACCCATCCTAAATTTGTTACTATTAGTTGCAAAACTATACTGTCTCTTTTAAGAATGGTCATTTCGTTTGTATGCCTTTTCTCAACTAACAAAATATTGAGTTGACAAGTAAATTGTCGATGTGTCCATTAAGCTTATGTTGTCACATCCATCTTGAAATCCATTTTGACATCCACCGTGACAAAAGAAAAAGTTGTATAAAACGAAAAAAAATTGTGATCACAATAAAAAATACAACGATTAAGATAAAAGATTTCTCAAAGGAACGCCATTTGAGGATCACTCCACTAAATATTTATAAAGATACAAACTAGAGTAACCCACCACAAGATTATTACACTGATGACTTGAAAAGGTAACTCAAAGACTATACAAAAGTTAGAACTTCCTTATGAAACCTAATAGCAAAATCTATAAACAAATTTTTTTCTCAAGTAAATAAACATCTGATTGGCCAGTCATTTCTTGATTGTAAAAAGTGAAAGAGTTAAAATGATCACTCATTGGCAGGACCATCTTGCTTTGCTCTTCTTTATCCATTGGCCATAGGGAGGAGTCTTGACAAAAATCCCATGTAGGAGAGACAATTTTTTGGCATAAAATATTGCAATTTCCTTCAGACATTTCAATATCTTTCCAAATTTCATCCATGTCCGCCTCAAAATCATTCTTATCTAGCACGTTGGGACCTCCAGTATCGTAAAAACTACATTCATTGTTCTTTGTAACTGAGGCAAATTCAATAGCAGGGCTATTCGATGAGAAGGACGAAGAAGATGAAGATGGTGATATAGCTTTCTTCTTCTCTTGTGCCTTTTTCCTCATATGAGTTCTCCAATAATTTTTGATCTCATTATCCGTGCGACCAGGTAATTCTCCGGCAATTCTTGACCATCTATACACACAATTATGTTATATGTTATGTCCATATAAAGTAAAATATTTGTCATACCATAGCTTAACAATCCTCTATAAGTTAAACTTTTTCACAAGTCGTAACCAAAATTATATATCTCTTCAATAATACATCAAAATTGAAGAAATACAGCAATATATACACCCACACACATATACACACACACTTATATGCATGTTATGGGTCAACCTGGTTGAGGGGAGAACCCAAAAAAGTTCAAATAAGCAATTTGACACATTTAGAAGTTAAAATGAGCAGTCGGATTCTAAGATCAATAAAGAGGGATATAGGATATAAAACTTCCAACCTATTTCCCCATTTGGAGTGAAGTTCAAGAACAAGGCGCTCTTCATGGGGTGTCATCTTGCCTCTTTTGAGATCAGGGTGCAGATAATTAACCCAACGTAACCTGCAACTTTTTCCGGTTCTTTTCAAACCTACAAAGAAAATTATATATGTGGAATATTGTTAAACTATCGGGCTCCTAGGAATTACTATGGCATGCCCAAATAATCCTACCTAGTATTTTTGTCTCCCGCCACCTTCAAACCTGAAACTTTTGCTATGAAATCCCATCGGCGATCCCCAAATAAGTTCACATAAAATACAAGCTGAACATCTTCTTGTTCAGTCCATGGACCTTTCCTTGTTTCTTCTTGAACCATCTCTCTCTCTCTCGCTCTCTGTCTCATCTTCTTTCCTAAATGACTCACCTAGTTACTTTGGGTACTGAGGTGTGCTGGCTACTTATATATATATTACACAGAAGATACACACACACGCACTAGTGGTTTCTATATGTAGGGCATGTTACTATCAGTACTATTTGAAATTCTTTTACAAGGAATTTTCAATTATGTGTGAGTTTGATTGTCAGCTCTATTGAATGTTTAAATAGCTAAAAGTTAATAGAGTTTTACATTAACCAATCTCTTGAGGTGTATCAAATTAATTTTTCATTAAACGTACACGAACTTTCATAAATTGATGACCACGTGATTAGTGTAAGACATTTGCCAGCTTAGTTGAATTTGTTAGATTATGTTTGTTAATTATCGAATTAGTCCATACAAAAAATTGAGTATAAAGCTAGATTAAATATGGTAGACAGGTCGATAGTATTTAAAATCTTATTTGCATTATATTTCTTAAGTTAATCGGATAGCATAATACGTAATTAGAACGTAAAATTAGACCGAATAAAAAAATAGTGCAAACATTTTTTTAAAAATAAAAAGTATCCACTTTAATTCACCATAATACTAGATTATCTCCTCTAAAGTATGCATAGTTTTTTGACATTCTAGTTCAGCGTGTCAAACATTGCTTAAGAGCGTAAAAGTACTGGCGAACCCGGGGTTGGGGGATCATGTGACCCCTCAACTTTTGGGTTTTTTTTTACATAAAATCTTGTTTGGTATCGATTGAAATCTATATTTTGATTTAAATCAAAATTAAAAATTAATTTTAATAATATATTTCATGGAATCCATAACTTTTCAACTTTTATCAAAATTTACTAAAAACCTGATTTAATCCTCAGGGCAAAACACAATAAATTTGTATTTTTTTTTCTTTTTTTTCTTGCTCTCTCTTACTCTCTCACTCACGCCTTCCACCAAAATCTCAATCCTTCTATTTTTTTAAAAAAAAATTTGTCTATAATTTCTTTACAAATTATCACATCTATTATAAATCTTCACTTTTCAATTAATTAGAACCTATATTTGCATTTTTTTTTTCCTATCAAATTGTGTATACAGAATGTGTCTAAAGTGATTATATCCAATTTGACTTATATTTAACGAATTTTGTTTATTTGACTAATTATTAGTATTTAGCCCCCATTTGGGCCACTTTATTTTCTCATTAAAATGAAAAATATAACCGTTATCCATCACATCAACATTTAAATTCAAATTTTATATTTCTTGTGTGGGCCCCAATAACGACTATATTTTTCATTCTCATTTTATAAAAAGGTGGCTCAAACAAGACCTTAACATTGGTTATATGTTTTTCCATTTGATTACTTGAATTGATTGTTTGTATTAAATACACTATAAATGTTTTAAATATAAATATGCATTTTCTTGAGATGAGCAAAATATTAATAAAAACACTGTTCAAAATCAAATATATAAAAATGATAAGCAAAATATTAATGAAAAAAATATTTTTTAAATATAAATCTGTATTTTCTAGGATCAAGTATGAATCATTCAAAAATCAAGAACAAAGTCTTCGATTTGTACTGAATTTGATTGTGTCCACTAATTTAAAATGTCTACTTCCGTTGCGTAAAAGTATTTACTTATTTAATTTTCTTTTGTGAAACTGTGGGTTGCTAGTGATGGTTTGGTGATAGAGCAACGTGGCTATATGATGCAAGCCATTATAAAGTGCTTTCGATAAGTGATTGATATGTTGATGTTACTTTCATATTGGCCGTCCCTTTTATTCCATTGGCACTGCCTTGTCTTCACCTTGATTGATTTGTCTTTGTGCGTGACTACCATCCATATACAGAGACACCAAGTTGAATTTTTTATTGCCCGTGCTACTTCGTTTTACGCTAGAAATAAAAATTGTTTGGATAATTTATTTCTTTCTTTATTTAAAAGTCCTTTTATCGTGGAACATTTGCCATCCTAGTCCCCAACTCTCACTCAAAATCGTTAAATAATTGAAAATATTATTTAGAAACTCTTGAAAACTTCTTAGAAGTCACATATATATAGTTTCATGATTATATGCCTAACTTAGTAAATTAAAATTTGGAGAAAAGTCTCGCGAAATTTGATCAAACGAAAAAATAATGATGTATTTAGTGTATATAACCAAAGGATTATAAGAGTTTTATCATTTTTAACATAAGCAAAAGAGATGTTATAAAACCAACTCCCTCATATATATCTTATCCATAGAGTACATGTAGCATAACCCAAATCGAATAGTTTTTGTATTTCGATAATAAAAGCCTAATTTTATTAATAAAATGAAAACCAATTCAAGAATTTGTCAAAACATTTTGCAAAATTTTCCAATCAATGGACAATTTTTAGCAGAAAAATACTGTGACTTATGTATAATAATTACCAACAAAATCCAAAATCTTACAACTTTCAAAGTTTTATCTTTTAATAATAAGATGGTGTGCAAAAGTGGTAACGTAAAGAATTAAAAAAAAAAAAAAAGGTCTTTTAGGGTTTGCTTGGATTTATATATTGATGGGGGAAAAAGTTAATGGAAGTTGCTTGCTCTTATTTTTCATCTATTTTAAGAAAATTTTCGATGGTTCTGTCCCTTGATTTTGCGAAAGGTCACAAGAATTCATCGATACTATACACAATGTATAACTAAAAAATTTAAGAGGCAAAAATAATGTACAAGAGAAAGCCATCGTGAAAAGAAGGAGGGATCTTGGATTCGTGTTGTTGTAATTTTATGCATCAAATATTATGGGAAATAAACTGAAATTTGAGTAATTAACGCTATCAAATAAATTTTCTATAGGTTTCTAATAATTCCCCGTCGATGTTATATCGAAATATATAGTATATACATCATCACATAACAATTCTCTTTTAGGGTTAGCATATGCACTTCTATATGCTTTATTACAATTGATATTGAGAAGAATTGATGGTTAAAGATGGCTTTTTTAAGTAATTTTGCTAGAAGTGATGCCAATGAAATCAACAAGAAACTTCAAAATGTATTGAAATAGTAGAACTTAAGTCGACAAAAGTACTTGACCAAACCATATAACTATTTTTTTTAAGGATTATTCCTAAGTACAGGGGCTCATTTCACAAGGGCCTTACAGACCCTTCACCGTGCAGCCGATCCCATTTGTGTATTAAAAAAAAAGGCTCCCCTCCTAATGTGTGTAGCCTGGCAGGGGCCCGTAAAACAGGCCCCTGTACTTCAAGCACGGCCCTTGTTTAAAATGAAAATTCAGATCGAATGATCCAATTTCTTTTAACTTCAACTCAAACCATACTTATCATCTTCCAGCTGTTCAACAAAAAGGGACAGGATTATTAAATGTACATACTCATTAAAAGAATAAATATAGCTAGCATTAGCAGCAGCCATTACCCAACAAGGAAATAAGTGGGGAAAAGGAAGACAGACACCCACAGGATTATGTAAATAAATCTTTGCAAGAAGTTAAACATATCTTTATTCTCAACTTTGTCGGCAGTATTTAATGTTACATGTTTCTTACCTATGGGTAATATTTGTGCAACTTTTGATCCAAAAGTGTATGTTGATCACAAGAATTAAATTTGGATGGAAAGAAAACGAATTTCACGGAATTGAATTGTGTAGAACTTGTTTTATTGAGAATTGTCAATTAATTGTGTTTGATTAGTATAATTTTTCACCTAAAAATATTGAAATTTTCCATTTTTTTCATGTTTGATTGACTTTGTTTTCCATGAAAATTGTATATTTTTTTTCTCCAAATATTGGTGTTTGATAGTCATCTATAAGAATTTTCATAAGCTTCAAGTAATCAACAACCAATGCAAAGAAGACAAAAGAATGATTTAAAATTGAATAGTGTAAAGAAATATAATGTATTTTGCGATAAGAACTATTTTGGGAATAGAAAATTCAAAAACATCGATAAGAACTAATTTGGGAATAGAAAATCCAAAAACAATGATTTTTATCTCTTGCCAAGAAAACAAAAAACCATCTCACCCCATGGGAATTTCAATTCCTCATTTTTGTGGAATAGAGGGTCATGTGGCCGGAAATGAGAAAAGCAATTGCCGAGAAAATATTTCTTATCAAACAAACTAATAAGTGAAAATTTGTGGGATAATTTTCATTTTCCATGGAAAATTTGACCTATCAAATATGGCCTAAGAATAGAAAGGTAGTGCTGAGCCAATTTATTCAAAAGCATAAATTATGGAGAAATGTTATATTAATTAATTTATATTTATATCTACATTTTCAATTGTTAATAAAAATAATAAATTAAACATTAATTTCAGTAACATTCTACTTGTTTTTTAGTTTAAATTTTTCTTCACACACACACACACACAAGGATTTGACATGTATAAAAACTTCTTATTTATTAGCAATAAAAAATAATATTATTTAGAAGTGGGATATGGCATCATATATGATCAAAGTCTCTAGTGACTTAAGAACATTAGGTTTTGTACATGGACCAAAAGAATTTCAATTTAAAAAAAACACACACACACACTTGGAATTGGATGGTAGCTCCTTGCTTTAGGGGATATTTTTACTGAGCAAAATGAAGTGGATGGCACTACTTTTATGGCCACTACACATAAATTAATCATCATTGCCCTCCTTTAGATTTATACGTA